GGTAATTCGGGATATATATTTGTCTACTGCCATCATCTAGGTTATTTCCTCCTAGCAGGTCCAGGTAATGATATACCAAATTCTCACTACCCTTTAACTTGTCACAGCAATAATTTTCTTCACCTACTTACCATAGTCCTAGATGCATAGTATTTGAAAACTTACAGGTTTCTTCTACATGATACCCCACAAATAAGTAGTCATGCAGGTCAAGAGATCACAGTTGCTGCACATCTAATTCCTGCTATTGCGCATAAAAGTTACCAAGCAGACGGGATCGTCCGGTTGCTTCCGCCGAGTCGACCGATCTACTCCGTACGCACACTACTGTACCTACTTACCTAGTATAGATATATACTTACTGCCTATGCGTACAGTACAGTAATCAACCAGTCTCCCAAGGCAGACTATTAAAAAGAGGGTCGCGGGGAAGAAGAGAAAACGTGGGGTTATCTGAGATTAGTGGTCGGCCACTAGACATCGTTGTTACGCCTTTGTTGGGGTAAGACGAGAGACAGCCTCGGCTTGGTTACCGTACCTGGGCTATTTCTGCGGGGCCAAACTACCTAGGTACCCGCTCACTTCACCTCAGCTTTCATTGAGTACAACAGCTTGATTCCTCAAGTTGTGTAATTCCATCCCACCTAAACGGTAGACAGATATTGGACTACATTAATACAGAAAAGAGGAAACCGAGACGCACACGCATACAATTGATTATATATATATATACATATACTTTGCACACAATGGCGGACGTAGTCAAGGTTTCATACTCAGGGCGCATAGCCACCATCACCATCGACAACGACAAGAAGCTCAACGCCCTGGGCTTGGACGGATACTATGCCATTGCTAAGGCTCTGAGAGAAATCGCCGTGCGAGACGACATCTATATCACGATCCTGACCGGAAAGGGCCGGTATTTCTCTGCGTGAGTATTGCCACGATCTTCTGTGACATGCATACGGAATAGGTGTATATACATACCTATCAAACCGTTAAAGGATGAGACATGCAGAGAAGAAAATGCATTTGTCACCCGAGCTCACAGCGTCACATCTCCCCTCCACTACTCCACGAGCAAGACACAACCCGTCATAAACAAGAACCAAACACCAAAAAAAAAAAAAAACCCCCCCACAGAACCCTCAGCTAACCATGACCTCAAAACCAACAGGGGCGCCGACGTCTCAGTGGGCCGGGACCTGCCGCCCGACGCGGACCTGTACCAGGAGTGGCTGCGGAGCTTCGTAGCGAACAACCTGAACATAACGCGAGCCTTCTACAGCCACCCGAAGATCCTGATCGCGGCGCTGAACGGGCCAGCGGTGGGGCTGTCGGCGGCGCTGACGGCCTTCGCGGACTTCGTGTACGCGGCGCCGCACACGTTCCTGCTGACGCCCTTCTCATCTCTGGGGCTGGTGGCCGAGGGCGGCGCCTCGTTCGCCTTCGTGCAGCGTCTGGGCATCGCCAAGGCCAACGAGGCCCTCATCATGAGCCGGCGCATCCCCGCCGACGAGCTCGTGGCTGCGGGATACGTCAACAAGGTGTTCGCGTGCGAGAAGGGCGACGACGGGGCTTTCATGCGCCAGGTCCTGCGCGAGGTCGACGAGCGGCTCGGCGAGCACCTTATTGGGGACTCCTTGATCGGCATCAAGGCGCTCATCAGGAAGCCGGAGCGCGAGATCCTCGATAGGCAGAACGTCGCCGAGGTCTTTGCTGGGCTGGATCGGTTCGTCAGTGGGGTTCCTCAGAGGGAGTTTCAGAAGATTGCCTCGGGCCAGAAGAGGCATAAGCTATGATACGCGGTTGAGCATGGTTTCAGAGAGGCGGTGAGTGTGTGATGAAACGGCAGCGAGTGAGCAGCGAGCGGATGGTGGTCATTGTGCGAAAGGGCTTTCGTCCGTGCTGTATTTCTGTGAAGCTGTTCGGCCCTTCTAGATAGTACTTTGGCTATAAACATGTAAATACTACACCAACATAAACATTCATCTACAGGGGTATCATCACGCGAGCAACCCAAATAACAGGCTCGTCCTCTTCCAGTACTCCTGTGACACTTTCGCAAGGCGCCGTTCCGCTTGATTGTCCAGGCCGGTCTTCTTCAAAACTTCTGAAGCGAGGTCTTTCATTGCGTCACCAGCGTCACCATTCCCGATGTTGAAGTAGTGTTGTAGTAGATTAATATCGAACAACCACTGAACGAAGACGTCTTTGCTGCGCTCGGATATTTTCTCATTAGTCCCCTTTGTATTGTCGTCGTGTTCTGTTTCAGTGTCGTCCTTCTCATTTCTATCCACCTTGGACGTAGATTCCGCCTGATCTAGATTTGGAACGGGTGCCATGAGTTCCTTTTGCCAAACATCTGCAAGCTGTTGACCAAAGACACGCTTTAGAGTCTTGACAGCAGCTGGGGTCCATAGATCAACCCCGGAATCGCCCATTGAAACTGCGACATTCCGTAGAAGCTTGAAAGTGCCTGAGGAAGGTTGGGTGGGCAAAGCTGGCTCTCCTTCCCATAACGCTCGGCCAGCTACCCGTTTCTGCGTGAGCGCTATCGCGGTAAATTCTTCTATTGGTGCCTCAGACACATAGACCGCAAGCTTTTCGTGCAATGAAGGGACGTTACCCAAGCCGAAAGACTGCACATCCTCAAGCTTAGGTAGACGGCTGCGGATATCCCTCAAAACCCGTAGAATATACGTGGCAATCTGTCCGTTGTCCAATCCGTCCTTTCGACTTTGCCACAGTCTTGTGAGCTGCTCGTTCAAGTCTTCGAACGCTTTTATTAGCGTCTCATTCAGGCGTGTGTATAGCAATTGTGGGTCATCTTTGCTTAAGAGATCCTGTCTCGTCTCGATGACCTCCTCATCTTCGATTTCGTCCACATCATTATCCCACCTCTGTCGTTTAAGTTGCTCTACTAGGTCCCCTACGTTGTCAATTATGTGATGCCATGAGTCAAACCCCGTGACGGCTCGTGCAACAGCGTCATTCCTGCCGTAGACGCGAGATACGACTTCATGTGTTACCTGAGCAGCGCCGATAGAAAAGTCCATCCCGACCATCTCGTCGTCCCACAGGCCACGATGGCGATCAGTGACTCCCGATTGCCACGCCTCTAACGTGGAAGAAACTTCAGACCCAACGAGTTTGAGCTTCGCAACTTTCGTTTCGATGAGTTGTAGTAGATGATCGTTAATAGCCTTTCGTAAGCCGTCGAGCATTATAGATGGATCAAATCCTCTAGCCTTTCCGCCATCCCTAATCCATTGCTGTAGTGTGCTTGTCCGTAGTTCTACGATAGCTTTGAATTCGGAGATGTGTTCGAGGGTCTTGGTTAAGCCGCTTAGAGTGGTCTCACCGCCCTTCTTTGCCCATCCCGTAAGCATCTCCCTAGCTTGTTTCCCGTCTAGATCGTCATGTCGTATGAAAGGCGTGAAGTACCGGATGTCGTCACCACACCATGTCTCGAAAATATCCAGCCTAAGACCTTCCAGAGATCGTAGTGCTTCATCGGCGAGGAGCGGTTTCTTCTTAAGCTCCAGCAATGCCTCCGGTAGTTTGTTCGGTATCAGCGCTTGCACATCCACCAATGTCTTAGCGTATAGCTCGAGACCTCTGAGGACGTTATCTGCGCCCCTGTCCTTCTCGTGTTCCTCATAGTCGAACTCATACGTAATCGCCTCGGCCCTGATACTCAAAAACCGCCGCAGGACGTCCCTTGTCCCTGAACTTGACGAAAGACTATACGCGGACAAGGCTTTGATTATATCGGTTATGTCCGTCTCCTCTCCAACTTTTTGCAGCATCTTTTCAACTGCGCGCACCAGCTTTCTCCTTAAGCCATCCAAGCTCTTCTTTGCAGTTTCGACAGCGCTCCTGATTTCCTCATCGGATTCCTTCAGGTTCCCAAAGCTAGACACGAGCAATCGACTAAGCACAAAGACTTTCGCAGCCAGCACGAGCCTGTCCCCCCTTCGTCCCTCGGCATCTTTACTTGTGCCCGTCTTCAGCAGCCGGCTAACAGCAAGACCGCAGGCTCTGAGCAGCTTGACGCGTGCGGCCTGACCCAATGCCACCCGGGCATCCTCGTTGCCGCGAAATCGCCCCAAGCCCGTGATCTTGTTGTCAACGACGGTGCGTCCACATTGGCTGCCCATGTGGCCCAGCACCTCCTGCGCCGACAGCATGTCTCCCCGCATCTGCACGATGGTGTCGGCGGTGCCGAGCAGTTGGCGGTAGCTATTGCCGACTTGTGTGCGCAGACGGGCGGATTTCTCGTCGATCTGGGTGTGCAGCGTCTTGTGGACGGCGCGGATTTGAGGTAGCGTGTATGTTGTGAAGATTTGGGCCGAGCTCGTCAGCGTCGATGTGTCGGGTGTCGCCATTGTCAGCGGGGGAGAGGCTCGGCTCGTCCCTGAGGGATGTTATGGTCTATCGCGGTCTAAACATTGGTACGGTGACCTTGGACTAGCTGGCTTTCTCTGCGTGCGCGAATAGCGGCAGGCAAGGGTCAGGCAAAAGTTGCCAACTCAATTGGACGAGCGGCTGTCGGCAGCTGCCAAATACGAAGTAGTTATAAAATAGTCGGTCTTACGCATCGCATATAAACGTTGTCTACGGACATAGGAAGGTAGTGTGTAACAACAATTGCCAACAATTCGACTCAACCCATCTAAGTAAGAAGACATTAGTTCCGTAAGACTTAGTAATAACAATTCTAGTACAGGGTAACGTCTCTATATTAAAATTTAAACAAGTAGACTACCGATATAGAAGTCTAAGAGAAGTGCATACACTGCTCCGTTCTGCAGATAGATGGATTATAGCTGTTGCCAGCTGTCATAGGTCCTGGCGGCAGCCCTATCTGTCTAACTAAGTCTAGAATTGCCTACAGATATGTTATATACTATCGTATCTGCAGGTTAGATATTGTATCGATAAAAAATTAAAAAAATCATTAGGATTGTTCATCCATGGCAAAGAGTAATTCGTGATGAGAGTGGGACTCGAACCCACGCGGATTGCTCCACTGCGAAATTTAATCATGATACTGGTGACAGTATCATCAATTCAGGGTTTGCCTGAACGCAGCGCCATAACCACTCGGCCATCTCACCAGTGAGAGCCCGTCAGTTTTAGTGGGCATTATCAACGATGGACCGTCCGAAGAACGGGCTCGTCACCCAGTAACGCAGGTTGCTAGAGATCCCTTGTCCACTCCAGTGATGGTCGAGCTTCACATACTAGCATTATCCAACCGTCCATGTAAACATCTTCAAGCGTATAGCAATACGTACGACAAAAACGTAGTTTTGCATGTATGTATATACATACCTACTTTCAAAGGTCATCTATAACGAATGCCCCGCATCGAAAGCCTCCCTAAAACTACCAGAAAGGCGCCAGAAGAGAATCTGCCTAACCCAGACCCTACGATGAAGAGCATAAACTAAGTGCTGTGACCCACGCCTACGTTTCATGAGAGACTGGGTAGTTACTCAAATCACGGCTCACTCCGATTGACGAATTGCACTAAGATCCTCGGGATTGTCACGGACGCGAAAGCACAATGCCGCCAATCTCAACCGCGATACCGCGATTACCAAGGTTCAGATGGTCACACGATGTTAGTGGCGATCCGAGAATCAATGCTACTGCTTAGACCTTCGTTCACTTCGCTGTCTTCCGGGACGGCTAATATCTAGTCTAAGACTCATTGAAATGGGCAGGAGAGGTCGTTCGATCAAAACTCAAGTCGGAATAGCTGTTCCCCCGTGGTCATGTGGGTAACGATGAATGTATGTTCATCTGTGCCGTGTCTGTTTCATGTGAACGCCTCTATAGAATTCTTGAGGATGCAGGTGGTTTAAGGGGAGAAAGGGGAGAAAGGGGAGAAAGATGCGTGGATGAGGTTACACCTAAATCGTGGTGACATTATAGTCCACAGTACTAATCGGTATGACAAACAGTGTAACGAATAATTACTTACCTACGGTACTACGGCGGGCTTAATCACTAGAGTTGCTCTTGCTTCATCATCTTCGCAGAGGTAGGCTTTGCTTTCTTCCATCGAGTGATCACTTACAACTATCTAAGTACATCATCGATGCTATGCCAAGTCAATCGATCGAGTTCTTTCCTTCTAAATAGGTATTTTTCGGCCTTCTTCGTTTAGTTAGTCGATTAAACAACACCAGGCCGTAGTATATACATTTCACCCACAGCTGTCACTTGTGAAAGCGGATGCAGCGACATAGCACACACATAACGTCGTACTCCTACACGTAAAGATCAACCATCATTCAATATCTATGTCGGTGGCATCTTGATGTGCCCTTCTACTTACATAGTAATGTCGGCTCATATATGTTCCGGATGGACCTCCAGTCCATCCCCCAGATTGGCACGCAAATCATGGAGAGAAACTCCAAGACAGAGCAGTGGCAAGAGGATTTCATCGACAGAATCTGACACAAAGGCACTTGTTCACTGCTACGAAGAGGTTGCTGCCTGGTGTGCTGATTGGCAACAATGAGTGGGAATGATTCTCATGATACAGCAGCTCTATTCATGCTTTGCCCCAATCGGGCCACCTTGCTTGCGCACAGATGGGGTAGAACTTCTTGACCTTTCTCTACCCTCGCCCGCGTACATGCGACAGTCTAGACTATTCAACCGGCCCTTTTCTCGGCTTTGAGGTGTGGGCATCCACACCTAGAGTCATTCCTTCATCATGGGCAGGCTCCCAGGACAGCTCAATCTCCAATTAAGTCATACATCCAAACCCGTTTGACAGAGCAAGTCGTCTCCGCCAAGCTAACTGTTCAAGCATGAACTCTGCGTTGAGCTTAGCGGCTTTCAGTCGTCTGATCTTCACTATTAGGCTTTTTGATCTTTTTCATCCCATCGTTAGACCACTCTTCGGGAGCGCCCGTACCCTCACCAAGATCCAGATCGTAATGATTTCAGGTTTGACCATCTGACGTCGATAACCTATCTCCACGGAGAACTACTAGGGAATGGATATCATCAACCCGAAAATCGAGCGCAGGACAGTGAACAGCTATCTATATTTCGTGCACTAGAGCGAGTATCTTGCTATAGTGTGTTGTAATCAGTCGTGCTCCAGCTGTCTCGATTGTAACTGGCGGTAATCAGTGCTAGATGATCTGAATATTCGCTGATAGCCAGCAACGATGGCCCAAGCGACATGGATATCCCAGCGGATAACTCTCAGATCAACTAGCACACTACGCATAGAGTATCTGTGATTCTTATTCGAGCCCGGCCATGTGGCAATCCGATCCGAACCATCTGATACACAAGGCTGATTTATCCGGTTACCCTTCTGATGCCGTTCGTAACGCTCACCTAGTCCAAAGCTCGGCGTAGATCATCTTCAAGCGGCCGACACCGTGTAGACTCGTCCTCGCCTTCAGGATGCTATACTTACTATATCTGAAGGCTTAGGCCCCTCGTTATGAAATTAAAACGAGAGTCTAATTTTCGCTCTCTTTTGTCCTTTCCGTCTGCGCGTTTAGCCAGCTACCATAACACGCTTTGTTTCCGCAGGGCACTATCTCAACATGTGTATATTGACGAGCGACAAGCTTGTCGTTATTGAAAACACCACAGTGGCGGCCATGCCATCTCCTGATCCATTCAGCTACTCTAGCACTCAACAGAGCCTCGCAATAGCGATTATCATAGCCTTTGCGGCTCTTGCGTTCGTTGTACTATGTGTCAGAGTGGCTGGTAGGGTATCGTCTCATCAATTTGCGTTGGGTAAGCAATTTATGATGTGTTTCGAATAAGCAGCTAATGTGTATATTAGATGATACTTTGGTATGCGTAGCCATGGTAAGCGGCCAACAGCTAGTGGTTACCTGTACATGTAATGAACTGACCAGACGTGATTTATAGGTATTGTCAATATTAGAAACTGCAGCCAGTTATATGTGTGAGTCCTGACACCGGGGGTGATACAGCTCTAGTCGTGTATACTGACCTATTCCAAGTTATCAAGACGAACTTCATAGGGATCAGATGGGAAGACATTCCACCTCACGATTTTGTACCAGGTCTAGTATGGAATTATGCAATTGAAATTCTATACAATCCGATCTTGGCGCTAGTAAAAACATCGATACTGCTCTTCCTTCAACGTTTATTTGGGCAGAGGCCAGGTGTGAGGCGCTTTATCGTATGGTTGAACACAGCCAATATCGGAATGATGATTGGAGTCTTCTTTGGCACCGTATTTCAATGCATACCCATCAATAAGACCTGGGAGCCTACTATTGAGGGTACATGCATTGATAGGAGGATCCTCTTCACGGTCTCGTCCTCGTTTAATATTCTCACCGATATTCTCATGTTAGCGCTACCGCTGAGGATATTCATCAACCTGAAGATACCCAAGCGTACAAAGATCGCTCTAATGGCTGTCTTTTTGCTGGGATTTCTGTGAGTCGTCACTGTAGTATTCTTGTCAAGAAGAATGTGCATAGAGACTAATCATTCTCGCATTTAGAACAACTATCACGAGCATTGCCCGACTTATCCTTCTCGTCCAGGGTTTGTTCATGCTGAAGACAACGCTGAGCGCCGACGCCAACATCGGCTTCGTGACATCCGCGATCGAGACAAACCTCGCGCTCATTACAGCCTCAGCACCTGCGTTGAGACCTTTGCTTCGGACATGGTTCCCTAAGATATTCCGCGTTGATCGCGACGAGCTTGTTGGTAACACGGAACGCAGGGTGCTAGGCACGGCAGCAACGCGGATGACGCGTCTCAAGTCACAGACGCAGCTCCAGAGCCCACGGAAAAGCGAGGAGGCGATCATGAAATTTAATGGGATTATCAAAAAAAGCGACATCGTCGTTCGTCCTAACACGGGCTTCGACAGCCTACGGCCGGCTACGGCTCCCCAAGGGCTTAGGAGCCAACAACAGTCAGAGAAATGGATATAGGGCCTGCTTGTCCCTACCGTTTTCATGAGCTGGCTGTCATCAGTGGATGTGCGAGGTTGAATTATTTGGGTCATTGCTCTATGGCGTTACAGGTGGAAAACATTGTTCATTTCCAGTGCGCATCTCTATGGTCCGGTGTGTGGTGGCGTAGGGGTTTTTTGTTTGAATGCATGTGACTTCGTTCGAAAATTGTATGTACGCACTTGTCATGTTTTCTCAATTACTTCGAGATCGACACATAATGCAAATACCTTGAGACTAAAACCCCGCGTCTGAAACGATTTCTAGACGTCATGGTATATTCACTACCTACTTTGAGAGCCTCGAAGAGTCAAAACCTCAACTCTCCATGATCGTGATGGTGACTAACGATGACCTGAGAGAAATGCAGCTTATGTCTCAGATAAGGACGATCTCCGTAGCTAATTCCGGGCCGGACTTGCATATCTTTCAACCCCAGATTCTTCCGGGTCGATTATTCGATCATCTATATGGACGGTGGAGAATCACATGCACGATGAGTTCAGGGCCCTATACACACATATCTACTTGCCATGATAGGGATGGGAGGCTAGCTGATAGGTACTTGGCACGATATTGTCGTTATGACTTCCCCGCATTTTCTGTGACCTCAGATACTGATACTGTACATTTCCAGCAGGGAAGAAAAAAAAAAAACCTCATTCAGCTTTCCCTCTTCGCTAAAGATAGGGGATCTCTCGCAGAACTGTGATCCGGCCCGTTAGTGCCCAAAGAACGAATTGGTTTCGTAGCGCAAAACTTCCGAGCCTTGCGGAAGAACAAGATGCCCAACACACGGGGTTTGAACAAGACGTTATCTCGTGGCATACGAGGATGTAACGGCACCCACAGATCTCGAAAGCTTCATTTGCGAGACGGCCTCCTTCCCCTCTGACTGGTTTCCACGGTCAGCGCCCTCTGCATACATATTGTGCAACACATCTTCTTTTCGCAGTGTCCCTTGTCCTCATTCGTCGGTAAAAGTACATGATCATGGGGGTGTGCACGCAGAGATGAGTTCTAGGCCAACATCAAGAGAAAATGACTGGCAGGTTGGATTCGATAACTATGCGCCTATCTCTCGGCGAAGTTCCCAGTTTCTCGACATCTATGCTGCTATT